CCAAACATTTCTTTTCTGCTGAGATCACAGGTGAAACCTTAGCTGGAAAAGCTGCTTTCTGTAAAAGAGTAAGAGGGTAAGAAGATTATGAAATCTTCTTTAGAAATATGAATGTGTATAGAACAGTCCCATACCAGGAAAGAGATAAACTATAAGGCAAGACCCCATCTTTTTGTAAACTAGTTATTCTAATTTAAATAAGTCCAGTTTAAGCACAGTAAACTTTGAGATGACATTTGGAAGGAATTTGGCATGAGGTAGTGAGAGAAATTGTAAAGTTAGGTTATAAAGGGATTTTTGTATTTTTCTGTGTTCCTTTTGACTCACAGATAGTCTCTGTTGTTAGGGGAGCAGTATTCTGCATATTATGTTTGGGATACGCTCACAGAAAAAGGTGTAATTTTGTTTTAATTGTGTTTTTAAAATTGTTTTTGATGAATAAATAATTTGTCTATAAATTTTTTATTATAAATTTAATTGATTATAAATTTTTAATTGTGGTGCCTGGAAAGTCGGACCGTACCTGGAAACATGAATGTCTTCTCCTGAAAACATTGCACTTGCTGCACGGGGAGTCTGTAGAAACTCTGTGCTATGTTTCTTCCTCAGTAACAGGCACTAGCATTCTCCAGTCTTTAGTTAAAGGGACTTTTAAAATCAAGTGCATCTTTCTAAAACCAAGCTGGAAAAAAAATTCATTAAGGCTTTTCCAATGTGATGTTTTATAAAGTAGGAATGAATATGTAGCATCATGATTTTCCCAGCTGTCTGAAAACAAGGGTTTTGAAAGCCACACCTGTAATCTATTTTTTCTAAGATTTGTTCAGTGCTGCATAGTTAATTTTTGTTACCACTGGGAGCGTTCAAGCTGCCTGGTTATCTTGACAGGTAGTGGGAGGGCTTCATGCTCATAAGAAATAACAAAATACCTGAGGTCCACATAGTGCTCTTAGTTTTGTACCCAAACTGACTAGCAGCATGTTGGATAACTTCCTTTGAAAGACAGCATGGAAAAAAAAAAAACAAAAAAAACACAAAAAAAACCCAGAAGCTTCTAGATTTCAGAATTTTATGTATTTATTTATTTATTTCTGCTGGAGAAATTCGTTTTTCTGTTGCTTTCCGTCATGCTGGGGTGGCCCCTGTTGTAACCAGCATGTTGTTGCCTTATTACCTGCTAGCACAGGGGCTTCTTCCTCTGATGGCCTGTCAGCTCCCTCCCAGTGTCTTGCGTTAGTCTGATGTTCCTCAGCCGCTGCTGGGCATCTGGGCTGCGTGTCTGCCCCCTTCCCCAAGAGACTTCAGTTTTCGAGAGCAGTAGTAACAGGTCCCTGAGCAAGGAAGCTCCAGGTGCTGCTCACTGGCCTCTATTTCACTGCCTCCTTCCACACCAGTGGGTGTCCTCGTGTGGACCACTCTGAGCGCCCCCAGTCCTGTCCAAGCCATGGGAAGCTTCGAAGCACCAGGCTTTGAGGAAACCCTTGGGCCACAGAGTACAGCAGTAGTGGTTCATGCTGGCCAAGAGCAGGTCTAAACTGGTGCAGACTTGCTAAAAATTCTTGGGATGCAAGGGAAGAAGGACACTGCTTTTGATTCTAGTGTTTTCTGGGTGTTGTCACGTCTTATATCATTAGAAAATTCCCAGGATTTACAGAGTCCAGTAGTAGGACAAAATACAGGCTGTTTTCCCAGAATGGTATTGGTATTGGAGAATGTACTGGAGAAGGTTGATGCAAGTTAAACCCCAGCCCCTCCTCCTACCCCAGCAGCCTACGGAGACCTGAGCCTGTCTCCAAGGGGAGCACATGGAAGTTGAGCGTGTAGTGCTAGGGGACTTGCACAGAGCTGCCGGCTGCTGCATGGCATCTAGCCTATCCTCAGAATTAATTAACCAAGACCCTGCATCCTTCCTGTGTTTTCTTCTTGGGGTTTTAAACGAGAATCTTCACCTTTGAAATGTAGCACCAAGAAGGGGTAATGTTCTTCCTAAGTTTGTTTTTCTTTATATAATAAATGTGTTGAACATTGTAAGATGAAGAGCTTTTAATTGTGTAAAACGAGGCTGGCTGTCAGAGAGAGATTATAACAATTGGTTTCTAGCCAAATTGCAGTTGCTGAGGAGTGATGGATCTCTTGCCAGCACTAAAGAGGCTCTTTGCCTTGGGTGTCTGTGCGCTGCTCGTGGGCAGGGTGCAATCATATTTCTGAATGTGGACATTAGAAAGTGCACAGCACAAAGGGAAGTTTCTGTATTAAAGAGCTGAGTGGCCCTGATCCTGCTCTGACACCTTCTTGATGCCTGTCCTATTCTGCTGCAACCGTTTCTTCTGGCTTTTTTTTTCCCCTATTATTTTTTAATTAGTAGGGGGAAGAAAAGGGAATGTGGGTAGAGTGCAACATGCCTGTATCCATCTGTTTTGGGATCACTAGTTCCTCTTGACAGTGGTGAATGCACTATGAAAATCTAATCAAATAGTTATTTTTGTTTTTGTATACAATTTAAAAAAAACTCACTGTAGGCTCCTTACTAAATAAATAGGGTCTTAGATACTTTATTAGGACTAAATTTAAAAATGTAAGTAGGCAGCTTAATTGCTGACTGCAGTAGGACCAGATTGAATATATGTAACGTTTCTTTCTGTGCAGTTTCGTGAGGATAGGTATTAGCTAAAGAGCAGCAGATAGCAATGATAAATAATCTGTATTCTATTAAATGTTATAGAAAAATACCTAATATTTTCACATATAAAAATATTTGGGAAGCAAAATGCATTAAAATGTGCATTCAAAGTAATTGTACCTTTTGGAAGTTTACTGTCTTTTAAATTTTTGTTACTACTACTGCTGATTTAAACTCTTACTTAAACAGCTGTTTTAGCTATAGATATTTTGACTCAGATACTGTATTGTATCACAAGTTATATAGTATGCACTGAGGGATTCACAGTGTTTTGTTGTTTATTAACTTTTAGTATTATAAATTCAATCATCCACATAAAACAGTTATGTCTACTTATTTCTGGGATGATCCTGCTTATCACTTAACATTTAAAGAACTAAGATTTTTTCAGGATTCTCAAGGGCAGATGCAGAAAGTGCAATTTTATCCCTTTTTGAGAATGACATTAAAGAGTTTTTTGGCTTTTAAAAATATACACACGTTTTTCTTTTTTCTTTCTTTTTTCTCTAATCTGTGGATAAGCCTGGGCTGGATTTGAATGTTTAGATGCTGAAAAGAAAGCCCTGTTTTACAGCTGCTGTAACAACAAGAGGAAGATAATGCTTGTTTCTGCTTGTATCTTGACCATTTATTGAGGAAGTTCTGATGACTACTTCTGTGATTGCAAATTAGATTCAAAATGGGTAATGGAAATGTCACAATCCTAGAGGAAAATAGAATTCTCAGTGAGAATTCTCAGTGTAATCATTTTATGTATAGAACAGACTGCCCACTGGTATAGATGCTTTCCCTTAGTGAAAAGCCAAATAGAAAAGATAAAATAGTAACTAATTCGTATTCTGTGGTTTGGAGACTGAGATTCAAGTTGTCTGGTATAAAACCAAAGATTGCTTGGACCTATCTCTCTAGAAAATTCATTTGTCATTAATAGCATTAGAGCCAGATATAACTTATGTGTAGACTTGTACAATAGTGCAATAAAGAGTCCTTATTTAATTTTGTAGTAGTACATGATGCTGACTGAAGCGAACTAGGAAACAGGGCAAGGGAAAACACTTCAATAAACTCAGTATTATGTTATTTTTTCTTAGCAACCCAGTGCATATTGAAGGCGTTTAAAATGATTATGGTACTACTTAATGAAATATTAATCTTGAAATGTCCCGATATCCAGAATTATATGTTTATTTCAGTGAAAGTAACGTAAAGTTTAATTAGTTTATGTGCAAAATCACCTGTCTTTTGGAGCACTTGGGGTCCTAACCACTGCATGTGCTTGCAGTGTTCAAAGAAGTGATTTATGTAAGGGCTTGCCCTACTCATGGTGTCAGAGGGCCCAAGTCCAGCCTAAAGGAATTTGTTTAGACTTGAGGGCTTGCCTACAGTTAAGTTACACTTGTGAAAATACCAAGCTCTCAGGGCAGGAACCGGGGAACTTATAGAAAACATCAGTTTACTGTATCCAAATAGCCAGTCTTTGGTGTGGGTATTCGCTTACTCTTGACAATTGTAAGATCCTAAAACGCTGAGAATTTTTCTGGTGCCTCTGTAGGCAACGGGAACGACTGCATTGGAGCAGCACACAGCAAAAGATGAGGAGAAAAACCTCTTTAAAGGTTTCATTTGGCTTTAAATACTATTGTGGCCAGCTGGTGTATTGGAAAATGTGAGATTATTAAGCCTAGGAGTCAGTTTTTGTTAAATTGGTGCAACTTGTACGTAATTATTTTGTGGCTAATGAGCATGAACAGATCCATTTTTACAGGCACGCTCAGCAGCCTGCTAACGATAACTTATCTCAGAAGTGATATTGTAATGTGATTAGCATAATTGCAAGACATATATGGAGAAAATACTCTTTCTACCTGGAAGAAAGAACGTTTTTTATTTTTTGAACAGGCAAATAAAGCTGTAAAAGAGCAGGGTGGTACTAGCAGGTGACATTATCATTTAAAGAGAAAAGAAGATTTAATTCAGATGAAACAAACAGACACAGCCTTCCTTCTCACTGCTGTCTGGCTGGTCTGAAATGTCCATATTCAGGACGATATGGGTTTTCTTGCATGTGAAGAAAACCTCCTGGTTCAGCTCCTTTTTCTCGACTCCTGCATTTGGTGTGGGTGCTGGGTTTACCCTGGGACTAGACTGTTGCTGGTGCAGAATTGTTCTCTGCTGTCCCTAAATCCTAACCCCGGTGCCGCCAGTGTCACTTAATGCGGTCAGGGTGTCTTGGGGAATGCCAGCAAGCGCCTGCCTAATGATACACGAGTTGCTTCCTCTGGACTTCTAATAAGTTGATGTGCTTTTTATCCCAATGCAGAATGGGTGCAGCAGACAACATTTACAAAGGCCGAAGTACTTTCATGGAGGAACTGACGGATACTGCTGAGATAATAAAAAAAGCAACCTCAAGATCACTAGTAATTTTGGATGAACTGGGAAGAGGAACTAGCACTCATGATGGAATTGCTATTGCTTATGCTACACTTGAGCATTTTATTAAGGATGTAAGTATTACAGGTTTTTAGCCTGTTTTGTGCTATTAGGCTTTGACATGGGATAGGTTTCTTTTCTGCAGAGATGTGACATGTCTGAGAAAAACTGTGGAAGGAGAATACCAGTCTTATGCTGGTGTGTTTGAAAAACTAAAAACCAGGCCCTCTCTCATAGGCGTCTCTCTCATTGTAGGTGGAATCACTGACGCTGTTTGTCACTCACTATCCCTCAGTCTGTGAGTTGGAAAAGGTGTATCCAGAAAAAGTTGGCAATTACCACATGGCTTTCCTGGTGAATGAGGAGGAAAGTGGTGAACACAAAGGTACAGTATAAATGCGTCTGAGCTTCTGGCACTGTAGGTAGCAGCAGCAGATGTAAAATTGGCGTGGTAATTTAAACTTGAATGTAAAAATTGAGCAGCTAAGCTCAATAGGGTGTCAGCCTACACTTCATATTTAGGGAGGGGCTTCCAACTTGAATAACCATTTCTCTTTCACCGTCAGTATAAGAATGACTAAGCTGGTGCAGATCAAAGATTCACTTGGCCCAGTATTCATTTCACATAAGCCAAATACTTAGGATTAGGGAGATGTATAAAAACATATCAAACACATGGCGACTTTCTGAAAGATGACACTGTTTCCAAACACATACTGTTCAGGGTACCTTGATACCCAGATAGGATTGCTGCTTTTTAATAATCTTCAATAGATTTCTATTCCATGAGGTTGTTAGTTTTACCTGTGGATACATATGTGCTTTGAGTATCGTCATCATACTTGCCTCAAAGAGCTCCAAACTTTAATTCTGCATTGTGTGAGTAACCATCTCCTTTTGTTTATTTAGACAGTGTTTTGAAACAAAACACACCTTCATTTGGGAGTCTGAGTTCTTGAGTCAGAAGATGCAGAAAACTAATTCTTGTTCATCCCTTCCACACAATAACCTAATTTTGTAGAGTGCTTATCATCTTCACACCTTCAGAGAAGCAATATGCTCACAAACTTCAGAGGGAGGTTAGGTGGAGGGAGAGTTGGCTTTTATGTTCTATTTAATTTTAGAAGCAGGAATCCCTGAAATGTGTGTTAATTTTGAGCACTAGTGGCTTTATATAATGTTGTATTTAAGTGACCACCATCTAGACACACTGAGGTTCCCAGTTTAGAGCATCACCTGCCTGAACATCAGCCTGTCCTTTTGACATAGATTTCAGTGACTGAACTGTTGATCTCAGCAGATACTGAAACGTCTTGGAGATGAGAATGTTGTTCAATGTTCCTCAGATTTTGCCTGCGTAAAAGCCTGTGCTGCTGTGTTTGGATGTGCTGTATCAGCACTTCCAGTGCAAGTTGGCCCAAGCCTTCAGACCACATGTGGTCTGTGCTCCAGCAGCCACAGGGCACGTGGTCCTTTCACCACAGCATGGGAGCAACAGAGTATCTGTGTTGCTTACTTGGCTGGTGTTTTTATCTCCTGTGCCTGTTGTCTTAACATCTGAATCGTTTTAATTAATGTGATTTTTATGGTGTGATTTTTTTCCCAAATTTTGATTTAAACCATTTGGACCAAGTTAACTTGAGTCATCAGCAATTTTGGAAATCTCTGTTTCCCCCAAAGATGCATTTTTAAAGACAGGATAGAAAATAAATAGCAATGAATAAAGCCATATATGGTCTGCTATCAACAAAAATACGGGATAGAGGGGGATGTAACAAGGATATCTAAAGAGGAAGAAGAAGGAGGCAACACATTTATAATGACAGCTGTTACATTACAGCTCCTATATTTATGTTGACAGCTCTCTGTTTTATTGTCACAGGAAGGAAAAAGAAGGCAGATTCCATAACTGAAATCTTCACCATTCTCACCTGTGTTTATTCTCAGCATTTTGTATTTCCTGGCAGCCAGAAGCTTTTCATTTTGCTGTAACTAAAGGCTTCTCAATTGCAGGATTACTGATGCCTCTTTTATTCTGCAGTTACTGGGCAGATGTAGGAGGCGGTACCCCGGTTACAGCACAAATAATCAATTTGGCCTTTAAAGGCTTCAAGTTGTTAGCAGCCTTGTGAGCCTCAGGGATAAGCACGAGAGCATATGGCTGTCGTGGGTGCACGCTCCTGAGTAATGAGACACCTGGTGAAACTAGAGGAAATAATTTTGCCAATCTGACAACATGCAGGTAAAATGTGTGGGCTCAAGGAAACATGTTTCTAATTTTGTATTTCTTCAATGGAGTTAATCTCATGGGAACTGTGACTGATGCTAAGACCACGGTCTCATTATATTTTATTAATATAGTAGATGTTTTCTGATTTTGGTTTTATTCTTTAGGATCTGAACTTGAAGAGAAGCCTGAATTTATCACTTTTCTTTATCAAATAACCAAAGGAGTCAGTGCAAGAAGTTATGGGCTAAATGTTGCCAAACTAGCAGATGTTCCTGAAGAAATCTTGAAGAAGGCAGCTCACAAATCAAAAGAGTTGGAGGAGTTAGTGAATATGAAAAGGTCAGAACAATTGTGATTTTCTTTTTTTTACCAATGAAACTTGCAGATTGAATGGAGGAGCATTTCACACTGGGCGTTTAAAAAACGCCTTCAGCACCTCAGGAAAGAGAAAATAAAATCTTAAAAGAAAAAGAAAAAAGAAATTTTGCTATCCATTTAAAGAGTTAAATTATTGAAATAATTTTGTTTCACTGTATCATCTAATAGTTATTTTTGTTCTTTCCAGTAATTGTAAAAATATGAATAGGTTTAATTTAGAAAGGGTGTTATTTGCTTTGGAATTTGAAATTGTATTTGCAGACTATAGTGCAGAGAGGAATGCTGACAATTCGGCTTCTGGTTCAGCTTTGAATCTTTATAGCAGGTTTTGATCTGCACACATACACAATTTGAGTGGAGGTCTGGGGATTTTGATGCTTTTCTGCTAAAGAGTTTTTGTTTAGGGGTGCAAATACGCACCTTAGCCCAGTGTGTCCCTTGCATTTCCTTTTTTTACAATTGCTTGCTTTATTAAAGAGGAAAGGCAAGAGAGAGAATCCATAAATGCCACAGAGCCTAAGCAGGGAGCGTGCAGCCTGCCCAGGCAAGGCCAAGGCCCAGGCCCAGGGACACTTTCTTCCTCCCCACAGGAACTCATTGGCTTCCTGTGTAGAAATACTGATGTGGCCCTGGGAACCAAGCTCAGCCCCATGCCAGGCAGGACACTGGGCTGGCATGATGCCAACAGGCCAGACAGCTCGTCAGTTTTTGAATCACTTTCATATTATTTTAGAATATGCACTGGGTAATTCCATCCAGCCTTGACCTCTTTTCTCATCAGGAATGTGTGCTAAGCCATTTTCAATGTCCTGTTATTTGCGATGTCTTAAATCTAAACATATTAAAAAGAATATAGGAAAGATATTTCCTTTCATTCTCCTACGGATTCTACAAGTGTAAATTCATAGGAACTGAATGCTGAACATCTGGATCTGTAAAAATTACAATATGTTTTATTTGCTTTTTGTTTGCTTTATGTTTTACTTTTTCTCTGCCTCCTGTTTTGTTTTGTTGATGCTTCTGGTACTATCAGTTATTTGTAAAACTACACTGTTGACTATCCTGGAGCTGTAATACATATACAAGAAAATGTTAACTGATTGTTTTCTGTATTTATGGCTCACATAATGCTTTGAGCTATGCATACTGCTATTTTTGACTGCGTATGAAATTTTGCAAATGACTGTAGGGCTTTCAAGGTTTGATGCGTTTAAATTACAAAACTGTCCTTGTTTTGCTTTGTTTTTTCAGAAAAAAGCTTAAGTCTTTTGCCGACGTATGGAAGATAAATGATTCTCAGGAATTAGAGAAATGGATAAGTGGGTATGAACCTGAAGATGAAAGAAAGGACAATTTTTAATCCCGCTTAAAATGGAAGATAGTGAAAATGTTAAATGTAGGTCTGGGAGTAATAGATTCTATCAAAGCTAAGTTCTAGATGCACTGAGTTGACATTTCTGCTTTTGAGAGATGAGTGTTGCAATGCGAGGCCTCGCGGCTGCTCCCTGAACATGCGCCGTTTTCTCCTTCCACGCTGCTTTTCGAAAGTGTTTTGTGCTCTTTTGCTTAACTGCAAAATGTCCATTGACATCAGATTAAGGTTATAACTTGTTTAGGAAACATGAAAATTATGTTGCTAAATTATTAGATAACACTTTTATTAATAAAATATTGTCTTTTAACTGTATTGTACTTTGATTTCTAAACAAATATTTCTCTGCATTGGGAAAAATGTAGCTGATTCTTCTTTGACGAGCTATACTATACTACTCTGCCAGCCTATAAGAATTAACACCATAAAGCAACTTTTTTTTTTTTTGTTCTAGTATTAATGCATTTTAAAATCCTCTGTTTTGGTAGAGCACCTGCTACAGTTTATGTATGGAGAGAATTAAAGAAAGTGAGGGTTCTGTAGCTGGATAAGAGAGTCTCTGCTCTGCTGATGCTATTAATGTTGGTGCAACTAGCAATTTTTAAAGCAGGAGCAGAAATATGCAAAGACTGGCTTTCCTTTTCCTTCTTCAGTCTCATAAGTTCCTGCTTCTTTTTCAGCTTCAGCTTTACTCTTGGTTTTGGTCCTCTCTGGCAGCATCTGGAGAAACACTCTTAAGTCATATTAGAATAAAGTAACATCAGGTAAAATAGGCAACTCATTAATTCCAACTATGCAATTGGTAATCCCTCAAACTCTGACAAGTGCAGAGTAAACCTGGAAAAGAGAGAGATGTGTTTTTTAATTTTTTACTTGCAATGATCAAATTCAAATGGGAATGTGATTTCTAAATCAGTGTACGTTTATAGAAGTAAGCAGGATATCTTGCTAAGAAAAACAAGTTATGTTCAAATACTTGAACCATATCAAGATTGTATGTTATAATTTAAAAATACTTTATGGGAAGAAGTTCAGTGAAATAAAATATCTTGTTTTGTGCTCTAAAGAAAAAAATAAAATTGGATTTTGTCATTTTTGAGACAGCTGAGCCTTTCTGATTGTTTTGTTTCAAACAAAAAACGGTTGTCGTTTTCTGCTAAGGAATGCATGTCACATGAATATGAAATGATGTTATGGTAGAAGTGATTATCTTTCCAAAGTAAAGAAGTCTTATGCAAAAAAAAAACATAATCTTTTTAACCTGTCATCAACAATTGCTAACCTTCAGCAAGGGTTTTTGTTGAAATTCTCCTCCAGATTGCAGAGCATCCTTAAAGCACATGGTTTGTCTGCCACTCAAAATAGCAGCCATCCAAATGAGCATTTCCTTTGAGCTTGCAGTATATTCATCTAAACTGGAATGCTGAAGAGAAAAGTAGTCTTTCAAAGCATGGAATACATATATGTTAGTCCAGGCCAGTATGTTGTGAATGTAATTCTCCATTATTGATGCACACAGGCCCAGTGCATTTCAGCTACAGACTTCCTCCCATAATCTTCAAAGACACTAAATGAAGCCGCTCTAAATTGCTGTACGTGTTAAGCATGCTCCCAGAAAAACTCTCCTTGCCCTCAGGGAGCATTCAGACTCTGCTTTGATGAGAAAAAAACACCTGGATGCATTGTGGAGGGGAAAAATAAAGCAATTAGGAAAGGGCAAGGGATGAGGTATGACTGACGTGCTCGTGCCACAAGGTACAAAATGGCTAGAGCAACCTCTTCTAATGTCCTCTATGACTGTGTTGGAAATGTCTTTAGATTTTAGCCGTATTTGGTTCAAGAAGGGAAGTTATCTTGCTCTCCAAGTACGGTGATCTGTACAAGATGACTTGTACATATGCAAGTCTTAATTTTACTCACTGCTAGCTATTAGCATTCTGAGCAGACAGGTAAGAGCTCGGGCAGCTGTTTGGGAATGCCCTGTGGGGAGATGGTGTCTTGCTAGATAGCCATTGCTGCTGCTGCTGTTGGGACACCCCGGCGATGTGCCACGTAGCGCGGCGCAGACGTACGAGCGGGGCTTGGAGCTCGCTGCCGAGCGGGGCCTGGCGCGCAGGCGGCGGCAGCGCTGAGGCGAGCTGCGAGCTCACGGGGGTGTGTGTGCAGAGCGCGGGGTTGGACGCGGTCTAGACAGGCGACTAGACAGACATTCCTTGGCCCTTGGTAGCTTGTGTATGAAAAAGGATATAAAGAAGCAGAGACCAGCTGGAAGACAGAAAGGCATTCATTTTGTCGGATGTTTTTGTCCTCTTTTGCTGTGGTGAGTTGCGACTTTGGCTGTCAGCAGGAGCCTTTCTGAAGGACAGAAAGAAGAGAAAGTGGTATCCTGTGGGTAGCTAAAAGCCTTGTGTTTTCTGCAACTTCACTTCCAGCACAGTAAACTTCGCCCCCAAAAGATAATTTGAAATATAATTTTGGTAGTGGCATTTGAACAGAGATGTGCCCCATTTTTAAACCAGAGCAGTCAGAGGCCATCTGTGAGCTGGGAAGTTTGACATGTGAACTGCTGTCATGTAAGAAGATTAGCCTAAAGAGTGTCCTGTACTTATGTGGATCGTGGTTATACTGGAAATTCATGTCAGTCTTGAGTTGGCCTTCAAGAAACAAATCCCTTTGTTTATACATTATTAATTCTGAAAGCATAAATTTTTATTGTAGTGGAGTTTTGGCTCCTTTTCATGCCAAGGTGGTATTGACATAATTAAAATTTAATATTGATGTGAAAGAATATATAGCTTTGGGCTGTATATTAAGGTACAGTCTCTTTTAAAAAGTTACAGCTTTTATCAATTTTTTCTAAAGATTATCACTTTCTGAAGCACCTTCATTTTTCTTGCTTCTCTACTCTTAACATAAAAATATTAATGCCTCTGTGCCCCATGTCTTGAATATAGTGTTTTAAAAATAACAGTGCCACAGGCTAGCAACAAAATCTAGTAGAACTTAGTGATAGAAGAGGAGGAGAGAGGATTGGATCCCCTGTCACTGCCTCTCTATATTTGGTTATATAAGAAAGTTATTATAGGATATGCAAAGTAAAATATGTTTTCAGTGGCAATTATCTTTCTTACTGACATACAACACTGAAGTAATTCTCAAGAGATTTTTTTTTGTATGGTAATGTTTCCCAAGAGTATTTCTAGAAATGAGATGAATTTACCTACGTGCATGAGTTTACAACATGTGTAAATGAATTTAATCACTGAAACGTCAGCTGAGTCAGTTACCTCAGTAAGTCTGTACGCTGCAATGGAAGCAGTGTTTATTGAGGGAAATCTACTGGAAAATATGTTGTTCAAATATGTCTATGTAAAATTTGGTAAGAATGTAATTCAGTTGTTTGGGCTTCTGCTTAGTTCTGCTGTAGGTGAATATTTCAGCAGAAGTGCTGATGTGGACGCACTGCTCTGTGTGGAGGAAAGCAGGACTCTGCTCCCGTGTCTGGCTCGCGCTTCAGGTTGTTGGGGGCTCCCCCAGATCCTGCTCAGGGTGGTCACTGCACTGGCTTGGGCGACAGTCCAAACAGGCTCTCTCCTTTCCAGAGGTTCCAGAGGTTGAAGCGTGTGAAGGGAGTGGAGAATTCCCATCACCTTTTAATTGTTCGTAACCACGAAGGCCATAGCAAGCTGAAATTTGCTGTCCCTTACAGCATAATTTTCTGGTCTTTTTTCAAAATATTTTCGTTCTCTACAAAATATTTCTTTTCTCTACAAAATTTCTGTCAATCAGTCAAATCCGTATCCAGTATTTGTGAAATCTGAGTTCAGTCCTGGGGCCACATTTGCAATCTGCAGATCTGAATGGCGAATTAGAACAAAGTGCAGGTCCAGAGTCCAAGAGGAGGAGTCAGGATTTCACAGCTGCAGAAGGGTGAATTCCAGATTGTAAATGAAGCTGGTTTGATGATGACAATCATCTCCATGGGCTGGAGATGAGTTATCTGGTTCTTTGGCCTGTGTAAGTCCAGTGCTGCTGGCTTTTCTTGTCTTGTAGCTGTCAGTGGGGAAGCCCAGCCTGGTGGAGCCCTGGGCTGGGAATACTGGGTTGCCATCATTACAAATGTCTGCTAGCCTTAATGATGCTATGTGTGCCATTGTACATTGGCTAAGCAAATTTGCTGTGGAAATTTGCTTAAAATGGTAGATCTCTTGAGGCAGTATGGCATTTAAACATCAGTTATCTTCTTTTGTCAGCTCCTGGGCAACACGCTCCTGATGACTTCCTTAACTACTTGAAAATTCTTTTCTCCTTGCATCTTTTTTTTAAAAAAACACTAGCCTTGTTTTGCAAGACGAGAGTTCTCCCAGGCCCATGCTGTTAGCAATAATATGGTGTCTTTTTCTGAGAGGAAGTTGATTTCAAAGTGAGCTATGGAGAAAAGGAGGCAATGCCTATCATACCATTCAAAGAAAATGAAGAGTGAACTAGATAAAACCAGACATAGCAATCTAGGAATAATTATCTATTCTAAGAATAATGACATTAGGAAACAGGGCAGTTTCCTCCTACATGGTGTCAGGATTTGTTAAAGCAGCAGCGGACACCAATTTGATTGATATTTTGGCTACAATATTGCTGCACCTGGTACCACCCATGAGATGAGGAGAGTTTGTGTGAGGCCACGTTCTGCAGCGCTGCTACCCTGAACATGCAGCTCTGGGTACGTGCGGCGTCAGCCCTTAAGAGCTATCGTTGCAGCCCCAAGTCGTGAAGAAGAGATGGAGCCTGAAGCGGCATGCACATTGCTGCTTTTCCTCAGTAAGAGCCTCTCGTGGGTTGGGGCTCCCCTATCAGCACCTGAATCCAGCCGGACACTTAGTTGTGCGCGTGGGTAAGTGAGGTGGCACCGTTCCCTCCGTCTTGTGGCTCACGTCTTGTGGCCTGGGGTTGCTCATCACACAGGAAGGAGATGGAGTTCTTGTGCTCACCCCCAAACAGGCTCACTATAAAAATGGGCTTTAAATACTTGTGTTCTTTTGAACTTGCAGCAAATCTGTACGGGTATTTTGATTGCCCTCCTTACCAAGTTTGCTGGAGAGCAAAAGTATTTTTTTCATCCATTACAAAATGAGGTAATTTTTATTTCAAGAATGACTGATAACTTCAAAAATCATGAAAAAATAGTTCTGATTTTAATCTATTCCCCTCCCTCTTTTTAAGCAATCAATTTTTTTGATTTTGCAATATTTTACAAGACAAAGGCCATTTCCTAGAAAAGGTCAGAAAACAAAACATTTGGCACATTTTAAACATACAGTCAGTAATAATGAAGCAGAAATCAATTTTTTTTTTTTTTTGGCTCATAATAATCCAAATATCTAGGGTGACTTAAAACTCAGCGCCCTGAATACTGAGACGATTACCCCGTGAGATAATAATACTTCTCCTTCCATATTCCTCTCTGCATAGGGCATCAGAAATTGAGTTTTGGAGCGTTTCAGAAGATCTCGGGTATTGCACGAGCACGTGTTTAGAGTTTGCGTTCAGAGGGGGAAAGCCCCAGCGCTAGCGGCAGAAATAGCGAGCGCGCGAGGCAGGGGGTGGCCTGGGCAGCTGGGTTCCCGCTGCCGGCGGACGAGTCTCCGCTTGGGGCTGGTCGGCCCCGGGGGGCAAAACTATGGATGGGATATGGAGGCCAATGTGTGCTTCACACTGAGAAGGCTAAAGGGGACTCCTTAGAACAGCGCTTGGGTGTGCTTACTTGGGCAGCTTGTCAAGCGCCCGGACTGCCTAGAGCAGCTCACTCAATTGCTGGAAAAACAAGCGCTTAGGCGAGAGGAATCAAAAAGGGGAGAGGAGGGAGGCTGGCAGGGAAGGTCTCCAAACAGCCTTTAGGTCAGTCAGTGCATCACCAGGGATGGCATTGGGAGGGAATTGGATTTTTTTCACAAGTGATCTCAAAATAAATACATAACTTGAAATAAGTACCTAATACCAAAGTACACTGAGCTATTTTTTTTAGTGCAATCCAAGACTGTTCCCAGCTATTTTGAGAGGCCATCACACTGCAAGCAGCCCAGTGTCTGGTGGTACCAGCTGCTGGTACTTGTGGTGTTTATATTCTCATTGAGTACGTTTTATGCACACTTTGTGTTAATCTCACTTCATTGTGGCTCACTCTGCAAGTATTTTTGTATAAAGTGAAATACTGTGCTGTTTAAACAAGCACTATATTTATGTAGTAAGTAGGTGTATTAAATGACCTAATATTCTATGCAATTGCCTATTTTAATAGCTTCCACACAGCAAAAGAAAACTTTGCAAATCCTTTAATTACGTTTGCAAACTGAAGCAATGTAAGCCTTTGATTTTTTTTTTTTTTTTTTTTTTTTTTTTTTTGGCGAGGGAAGAAGCAGTTAAGTCTTAAATATTAAGCCAGTGGCAGCAATGCAGTTTTGCCTGATGTTGTGCGGTTCTGTTCAAGAGGTTAGAGGGTCCAGAGCTCTCCTCCCCTCTGTCCTATTGGGCAGGAGTTCTGCCTGTTGCCGTGTGATGCCTGTACCATGTTTGCAACGTGCCTACAGCCGGGCCCACAGCAGCAGGCAGGTATCCATCCACCCGCCCAGGGTTGGGTATCGGAGTGCCTCACTCCTCTCTGGATCCCTCCACGTTGCTTTTGCATCAGGGTATCCTCTTTTTTTTAATGGCTCTGGCAAACTTCATAGTGCACTCTTACGCATCTGTTGTTTCTTACCTGGTATTCCTTGTAACAGCCTCACCTGTCATTGCCCACAATTTTGTTCTTTTCTGAAAAAGGTGGACTGTTTCTTCACCAAAAAATAAAGTGTTTGTGATCCTAAATCTAAATGTCCCTCTGTATGGCAGTTCCTCACACATGAGACGTTCTCCCTCTAGTAATGTAGCTGAAGGCATTTCAGAGAAGGCTCTAGGAAGTGCTCTGGGTTTTTTATTCTCAGTGTTTCAATGTGCCAATGCTTCAAGGCGTTTCTGCATTCTGCCGATCCTTAGGCCAGTTACACCCCAGTCTCTTACTCCCCCCGAGCTTCTGCTCTGACCTGTCCACATGCCTCATCATCAGAGGCAGGGCTGATGAGAGCAGGCACTGTGTAAACAAGCTGTTCTGCTGCAAGCAG